GCGCAGCCAGGGCGCCCTTTCCTGCTCTTTCGCATGCCTGTTTGGATCAGAAGCTAGCCCAGGCTTTCTCTAAATTGTCACTGCGGCACCTCCATCCAAATTCACTACAAAATGAAGTCTGAGAGGGTGGGGGTAGAGGACTCCAAAATGGATGTTTGAGCAGTTCGTATCAGTGCCGAAAACTCCTTCGCTGAACACTACAAAAATTTCAAGCACAGCCTATCGGCCATAGATAGTATCAACTGCAGAGGCAGTGTCTTTAGTTCCTAGTAGTTTTTGAACCCGGAGCTTTTTTCTTTTTTTTTTTTACTGGAAGTTACTAGATCTTACTGTTTAAATGTTAAATCGTTTTAAAAAAAAGGATTGAAGGTTTATTCTTTGAATTACCGTTTGTATACAAGAGTGAACAGTTCAACACTTTTTGAATGCTTTTTAAATAGCTATTCTAAATTGTTGAATTTTAGTTTTTGCAGATTACCTAAATTTGCAGTAATTTTTCATAAATGGATTAAGTGACCGTTGAAATAGGCGAAGTTACTTAGTACTTTGCTTTTGAAACTTAGTATGAATACCAGTGTTAGAAACAAAAGTACATGTAAGGAATTATGTTTACATACTTATAGTTGAATTTGATTGGCAAAGCTATATTTTCATTTTGTTGTGATTGCTAGTCTGATGGGATATGGTGGGATTCTTTTTGTAGGGTTTTTTAGTTTGGGGCAGAGGGAGGAGCTGGCCAGTGTTACGAGGGCTTATTACAAATTAGCTAGAAACAGTCTTTAATAAAGACTGTTGTGAACTTCGTATTCATTTTAATCTTTGCTGTTGTGTTTAACATGTAGATGTGTTTACTTATTAAAATATTTGAAATCTCTCCTATCATTTTTTTTAAGATGGATTATAGCATTGGCTTGCATAGTGGTATTTTGAATTGTTACTGTGGACAAAAAGTTTGGTATAGTCTGCAGGAAATTCTTAGTATGCCAAGGCATTAAAAGTGAACCTAATATGAAGCTGTATTACTGTTAAGTATTGTACTTGTAATTTTAGTACTTGAAATTATACTGTAGAGGGATGTGAATAGATTTAATGACTTAAAAGTGGTTTTAGGTTTTTGTGCTTTTGTCAGCAGACTAAAAATGTAAAGGCATAAAATTACGTTTGTAAGATGCGTTGTTACTTCTAAACAAATTTATGGATTGATACCTTTCTTATGAACTATATCCCTTTAGGTCCATAATGCCAAAACAAATAGTTTATCTTTAAAAAAAAACACTTCATGAGTAAAGTTGCAAAGCAGATTGCTTCTATTTATCTTTTTTAAACTTAAAATAGAACAAAAAACTTTTTGTAAGTGCATCTTACCAAGTTTAGATACTAGCTTAGAGGTTGAGGGAGGGGAGAAATGAAGGAGGAAGTTACAGGAAAAAATATGTTTATGTGAGTCTCACCCGGAGAATAGATTACTGTCTTCAGCCTTAACCTGCTGTGGCTATATACTTGTAGGGAAGTTGTTTCCATGCCTCTTCACCTCCTCTTCTGCACTACCAAATCTCTACTGACATCACATTTCCCGCCAGATGAACGTGAACCAGAATCAGTCAGAGCATTTTTTCCTTGTATGTTTGGCACCTGTGCACCAAATTTTTCACTGAGTAAAATTAGTAAGACTGGCTTGAGTATGTTTGCCTTAGCAAATGGGACAGTTATTTTTCAAGCTGGAAAGTGAATATCAGACATGGACATCTCAGAAAATGAAAGAGAATTTAAGTGATTTCGTAGGGATTTTTTTTCCCCACTTAAAA